ACCTCTTAGGTGTGAACACATGTTAATCAAGTCCATAGAAACTCATATATTGAAAACCCACTGTAAATTTATTGATTTATAAGGATACTAATAATTACCAAATTGACCAGATACTTTTGTGTTTCTGTAGGCAAATCCATTTGGGATGCTAAATTACTATTGAAAGATTGCTTGGTAGGCATAAACATTATGTCAATAGAAGTTAGTTGGAGTTAGTACTATCAAGTTATAATCACTTCTATTCTAATAACATACCTGCTGAAGAGTCTGTGAACCAGAGCGGCTGAACCATCTGAAGACAGTGTGGTAGTCAAAATAATAGTCCCTAAAGATGTCTACATCCTAATGCCCAGAACCTGTGAATATGTTATATTACATGACAAGGGTGAATTAAGATTGCAGATGGAATTAAGGTTGTGAATCAGCTGAATTTAAAATAAGATTATCCTAGATTATCTGAGTGGGCCCAATGTAGTAATCACAAGGATACTTTAAGTGTACAGGAGAGAGGTAGAAGAGTCATTGTCAGAGTGATGCAATGTGAGAAATACTCAACCAGCATTGCTGGCTTTGAAAATGGAAGGGGGCCATGATCCACGGAATGTGGGAACCTCTAGAAGCTGGAAAAGGCAAGGAAACAGATTCTTCTCTAGAGCCTTTAGAAAGGAACACAGCCTGCTAACATCTTGATTTAGCTCAGTGAGACCCATTTAGGACTTCTGACCTGCAGAACTGTAAGATAATAAATCTGTGTTGTTTTAAGCCACTAAGTGTATGGTAATTTATTACAGCAACTATGGGAAACCAATATAGAAACCCTGCTAAAGTTTGATCTTTCTGACTTCCTTTTGTAGACTTCATACATTTCCCTTCCTTGACCATCTTTTTAAAGCAAATTAATACAATGACTTGGTATAAACTTTTAGTTACAATCACAATCCTGACAGGCTTCCCCAGCTGAATCACCTTGACTGGACTTACAGCGTTCACCAATTATATGGACATTCCTTGTTCTAGGGAATCTTCTTGGAAGTGAGCCATTTCTTGGTCCAGGGAATCTTCAGACAATAGGAATGCAGGGCTCTGGCTCTAGGATTTCTTACTGATACATTTTGTACTCCTCAAAGGCCATTCCAGACTAACTGAAACCAAAAAATGAATTCTGGAATCCCTCACACTGTCTGGGGATTCTAAACCTAGGAGTGTATGGGGCTGAACAAATGTCTAATGGCTTGAGTAAGCTGGAACATTGTAAATCAACATCTTAAACTATATGATTTAGGTACTATGATTATCCCTGTTTTACAGATGGAGAAACTGAGGTTCAGAGTAGCTAAATAGTTTGAAAAAGGTTAGACCAATAGTAATTGGCAGAGCTATCATTTGAACCCAGCCAGTCTAGTTGAGAGACTAAGTTCCTAACCAGCACACCTTATGCTATAGTTTAAATATGTTCCCCAAAAGTTCATGTGTTGAATGTTCCCCAGTGCTATGGTGTTAGGTGAGACTTCATGAGGGGTGATTAGGTCATGAGACTCTGCCCTCATGAATGGATTAATGCTATTATTGCAGTAATAGGTTCATTATAAAAGAACAAGTTCAGCCTCCTCTTGCTCTTTCTCTTGCCCTCTTTTTGCCCTTCCACCACAGGATGACACAGTAATAAGGCCCTCACCAAATGCCAGTCCCTTGATCTTGGACTTCCCAGCCTCAAGAACTGTGAGCCAATAAATTTTTGTTCATTATAAATTACTCAATCTGGGCCGGCCCAGTGGCGCACTGGATAGTGCGCCGCTTGGGAAGCGCGGCGGCGCTCCCGTCCGAGGGTTCGGATCCCACATACAGACCGGTTCCTGCTCACTGGCTGAGCGAGGCGCGGGAGCAACACCGAGGCTTGCGATCCCGTTGCCGGTCCCCAGTCCGGTACGGGGGCAACACTGAGGGTTGCGATCCATTGCCGGACTTGGAAAAAAGACAAAAGACAAAAATAAATAAATAAATAAATAAATAAATAAATAAATAAATAAATAAATTACTCAATCTGAGGTATTCTGTTATATCAGCACAAAATGAATGACTAAGACACTTTATCATAATTTAGAGGTTTATTCATCTTCAACATATACAGGTATCTAGGAATTAAAATAAAGGGAAGCACAGTAAATGACCAGAGAGAGGAGAGGATGTTTTTCACAATAAATGTTATTAGTACTAAAGCAAAATAATTAACAATTTTATTAAAAATAAGAGGATAATTTTTAATAACAGTGTTTGAGAGAAGAAACTCTTACTACAAACCTGGAATAATGTGCTTACAGTAGTTTAGTCATAATAGTTTTATTGAAGCTGTCTAGGGAGAAAAGCTTATCACACTAGGAATCAGAAGAACTGGACTCTGGCTGTTTTTGCTGCTAACTAGCTAAGTGAGCTTGATGATGCCATTAAACTTCTAGGTCCTAATTTCTAAGAAATAGTTTTCATGCTGCTGGAGAAAGCATTTCTAGATGGATAAATACTTTCTTGTCCCAGGAGGATTAACATTAGCATCAAGAATTTATTGAATGCATCCCTACTTGAGAAGCACAAAGTAAACTGAAAATTGGAATAGACAATATTGATTTATTTCATTAAGTTTAAATTATGTGGGTGGTAAGGACTGCAAAATAGTACTCCTGAAATTATAAAGTTTAAAAAGTCATTAGCAAAAAGAGGCAAATCTACATGGCTTATCATCATTTTGCTTCTAGGTAAGCTAGGATAGCAAGATGTTTTAACAACCTTTGTAAATTGCCCTATTCCACCAGAGATATCCCTAAATGGAGCTAGTTTTTGGCTTAAGTCAATTTAATTCAACTTACATTTATAGAATATCCTCAAATGTGATTTACTCTGGAACTAAGGAAGCCTAAGCTCCAGGCTCCTGACTTGCATAGTTCCTGTAAGCACTGGGAGGTGCTAGGTATTTGATGTTCTCAGTGGGAAGCAGAAACAAAGCTGCAAACAAGAAGTTTTATGTAGCATTTCTGGTAAACTGCCTAAAAGAGTTCACAGAAGGGAGGCACCTGAATTTCCACGGCTCTAATAATTTGTTGTAGTTTCTTTTTGCATTCTAAGTACTCACTTTTCCAACCTAATTTTTTATTCATAATATTTTATGATATCATACTCCCCCCCCAATTATATGAGTCAGACTCAAATACCAGTATTTACTGTGCCTACTATGCAATTTGCCCTGAACCAATGGAGATAAAAAGATGAAGAAACTCCCCGTTTTGTGGGAAGAAAAAAAGAGTGCAGAATTAGATATAAAACAGAATTAAGTACTTGTCAAGGATAGAAACAAAGTGTCAGAGGAGCACATAGAATAAAACATTAATAATACTAATTTGTTGCAGTATCTTTATCTTCTAAATGATGCCAGGCTGACAAAAAGAAAACCCTGAAATAGTTGAAGAAACCCTGAATCTCTGTGAAGCAGCCTATGGCCTGGAATTTCTTAAGCTAATGCCTTTCAAAGATTTTTGACTGTGATCTTCAGTGTAACAGACAGTAGTGTTCATCAGATATACTACCTGCTCCCTACATTTTTCAGCGTCCTTTGCAGTTAAACTGGACATGTGTATATTCTGGTCAATGGGCCATGAGAGGAAGTGATTGAGTTGTTTTTCTTTCAAGGATCTTAATACTGTTTAAGAGCCTGTATGAGTCCTTTGTGCTCCCTCTAGAAAGATTTTAAGCCTGGAAGCAAAGAACATCAAGATGGAGTAATTGAAAGATAGAAGCACACTAGACCTTTGAAGATCTGGAGGACAACCACTAAGGAGAGCAAGAAGACTTTACAGGACTTTATGGGACTGACATGTGACATATAAAATACTTTTATGTTAAACTACAGAGATTGGGAGGGTGGGGTGGGGAGGTGATTCCACAATTTAGCTCAGTCTAGCTCAACCAGACTAATTCACATAGTAATACATTTCTCATCTTGACCTCATCGTGTGTGTGTGTGTGTGTGTGTGTGTGTGTGTGTGTGTGTACACACGGGAGATCTTCAAAAAGTTCATGGCGAGATCTGTATTATCTTTTAGTTCCGTTTTTCCAACGAACTTTTAAAAGTACATATATATATACACATATATATACAAATAAAATTTAAAAATAATACCCTTCTCCTTCTGACTTACCTAATATTTTCTGTTCTATTTAATTTAGGAAAATGGTTATCACACTCAATTTCACCACATCCTAATTGGTCTCCATTCTCAATGTGAAAAATACTGTCTTAAGCTGCCTCAGAACACTGTTCTTCTATGAACAACTTTCGGCTGTGTACAATTATTCTGAAAAAGAATCAGAAGTTTTACGATAAATGCAATGATACAATGATAATAGAAATGGAAAACACAGAAACATTTCATCTTGTAAAATGTATTGCATTTTTGCAGAATGTTTCTATTTGGTACACATATGTGCGTACACGTACATATATGTGCATGTGCATAACCTTTTAGATGTTCTACAAAACTGGTGGTTCTGTGGCATTAAAACACTGCTGCTCTAAAAGTTTGCGCGTCATCACGCCAATAGAACTCCATTAAGAACGCTTGATCCATGAGGTCAAAATCATCGTAATTTATTTCTCTTTCCAACCGCAGGAAAACGTGAAGTCACAAAATCTTGTACAGCACTTTATTCCAATGCCATCGTGCTGTTTTTGGAGGCCTGGAAGGTGAAATAACAAAATCCTGAACTGGGCCACTCCCCGCAGGTTATCCCCACTCAGAGAATCCAGTGCTGAAGACAGCGTACCGAGCTGCGCGGGCTCTAAGCCGGAACCGGCGCGAAGCTCTCGCGAGAGTGCCGACAGCCGCGAGCCCCGTGAGCACTAGTTCCCGTGTCCTATCTCGGCGCGCCTACCGGCCTTCTCCTCCCTGCCAGCTTCATTCGCTACCGCGGGGCGGGCCGGAACTTTTGTCCGTAGGAACGGGTTTACACCGTTGAGTGTTGCCGACCGGCGTCAAGGAGACTAGGGTGCCATCCTCTTCCTCTCACCGTCGCCGCGGCGGAGCGGAGCCAAGCTGATCTGATAGAGGAGCGAGGTTACCGGACGGGCTGGGTCTATGGTCGCTCCGCGGGCCGCTCCGCCGGCTGGTGCTTTTTTATCAGGGCAAGCTGTGTCCCATGGCAGGGAACTTTTGGCAGAGCTCCCACTAGTAAGTGATCTTTCATGGTCTCGCCTGGGGCCGGTTCTTGGGGGGCGGTGAGGACAAGGACTGCGACTCACCTGGGCCTGGATCCTGGTCCAGGTCCCGAGCGTCGGGGGTCCTCCCTGGAGGTGGCAGCGGCCGGAAACGAGGATGCGGTTTTCTGAGGCGACTCCCCTCCCCGATCCTGGGCCCAATTTGGGGGAGGGAAGGATATGTGAGCGAAAAGGTGGGGCAAGGGGTTCAGTCTCTGGATAAGAAAGGTTTAGGAATTTAATTTCGGATTCTTGGATTAGCTAGTTATGGGGGCGGGCACAGGTATGGGCAGTGTGACTCTGTTCGGGACTGTGAAACTGCCTGTTCAGGACAGTTGTGGCTTGCTTTTTGCCTGGGATTTCTTCACGGTATCGGCATCAAGGTCTTTTGTCATTCACCTTCTATCTTGAGTGGACCTAATATTATTTTGAGAAGAGGTGACTCAGGATTGTTTCTGCCTACTAGCCGCTTCCCACCACTGCTTTGTGCCTGGATGGAGTTTTATGTTGATACGGTATAGCTCAGATGCTCTCAAAATTTATCCATTTTTTTTTTGCCTGTGCCTTACATTTTGTTTAAAAAGTGTCCCCACCAATAATTTTGTTTGCCTATTTCTTTAATCTTTTTCATGAATAAGTTTTTGTTTCTGTCAGTGACCAGGGAAGAACTAGAACAATATTTAAAAAAAAAAAAAAATTTATCCCTAAATACATTTGCCTGAGTAAGCAAGAAGTTGTGTGATAGAGCTAATTGAACATTAACCAGCTTTCCACTGTGTAGTTGAAAAATGAACAGATCTTGATAAAGAAGATATCTTAGTGTAAATATTTTTTCATGTTAAAAAAGCATTAGTAAGTGTAAGTTAATTTTTGATACTGTGAATAGGATCGATTCCGACTGTTGATTCATTTTTTAGCCCTTTGAAAGAGAAAAAAACAATGAGCTTGGAAAACTTCAGGAAAGCAGGTTTTCCTCGTGCTGTAAGGTGATTCTGTGGCAATGAAATGCTATAGAAGCTTTACTGCCAATCTTATTATTTTTATTTTGCATTGTTTTCACTCACTGAAATATATGCTTGGGCAAAGTTAAAATATGGAAAGTTTAGGTAGTGGAGAAGAGATATTTTGATAAACTTTAAAAGAAGCTGAGAGAATTGACAGGTAGCTAGCTGTTGGTTGTCAGAAGTTTTTAAACTAAAAATCCAAAATCCTGCCAGTCTTTTGATAAGTGTCCTCATTATGCTTTCATTTACTCTTGGCATTATAAAAACAATTGTTTTTTTCACTTTTCAAATATAAAATTATTATAAAATGAAATGTGCTTCATGAAACTATCCTTGCCTCCCAATTCAAATTGTCTTGGAGGAAGGGGTTACTTTGCCTTACTTGCATCCCTCAAGAATCATGGAATCCCTGAACTGCAAAAGGTAACAAGTATGAAAGACAAGACAGTTCTGGAAAAACAAGACAAAACAAAAAGGCCATTGTTTTAGGTAGAGGAATTTGGTGAAAGAGGAAAACTGACATGAAATATGCAGTATTTCATGCCTCTAAGATGCACATTTTCACACTTTAACATTTCTGAAATCAGCATGGCAATTTTTTTCATGGTAACACATGAAATAATGGTGAATCTTACATGTAATCTTAAATTTGATGAAATACATTATTTATAAGCCTTCTTGGTTTATCCTCCATACAAAGTGCTGTGAGGAAAGGTTTTTAAGTATTTGTGAAATTTATCTTTTTAAAAACATAAAATGATTCAAAATTAATGATACTTTTTAAAAACAGAATGACTGTGGAGATTAAATTAATGAGTTTGTATCACAATGTTTCAGAAAGTTGAAATGGAACAAAACACATTCTCTGACCAAAATGCAGTAAAACTAGAAGGGCACTAATATTTGCTGGCTGACTGATGAATTAATGAGCAGGTAACATGAAATAAAAACTACAAAACCAAGTGTGGATACTTTATTGTATCAAAGAGGAAATTGAAAATATAGTTACATAATAGCTTAAAAATAACATAATGAGATCAACATATATGGGATGTAGCCAAAGCTGAATTTACCCGAAAATCAACATCCTGAATAACTGAGAGTAAAAATAAATCAACTGTTCTACTCAAGAATATTGAAAAGGAAGCAATGAAATAAACTAAGGAAACAGAAAGAAACACTTAATAAAGGTAACATTGATACTAATGTACGAAAAGGAAAAAATTATAAGAGCTGGTTCTTTAGTAGAGAACGTCAAAACAGTAGACTGAACTACTGCTAGTTAAATCAAGGGAAAAAGGAATGATACAGAAATAGAAAATGAGGAACAAGGAAAGTAAATAAACCCAGAGGTACTTTTGGGTTATCTTCATAGTAATACATTTGAAAGGCAAACAAATTAAGAAAATTACCAGAGAGCAACTTCTTTAAAAATGCTCGAGGCCCACATTATTTCATAGGAAAATTCTTTCCAACTTTCAGGGGGATCTGCCTTTGAAATTGTTCCAGTGCGCATTAAAAGAGGAAAACTTTCCAGTTCTCGATATGAAGGCACGATAAGGCTGATAGAAAAATCTAGTAAAGGTAGCACTTTAAAAACAGTCTCAGTTTTGAATATTGATGCAAACGTTATAAATAAAGTATTGCCAAATGGAGTCTAACATTACATTAAAAGTGGATTTTATTATACAAATACAGTCAATGTTAGGAAATCTGTTAAACAGTGAAGGCATAAAAATAACTAATAAAATTCAACATCTATTCTTGACTAAAGGTCTTACTAAAACAAATAGGATGCTTCCTTAACAAGAAAAACATACTAAAGCATCAGCAAGAGGTGTTTAATGGTGAAACATTAGGAAAATTAGGATACCTATTTAACATTTTCTAAATGTACCAGTCAATGTAATTAACAGGATAAGGAGGTATAAAAAGAATGACAGAATTATCAATCCGTGGAGATAAAAATTAATGAGAAAGTTCAATTAATTGGAAAATTATTAGAAATAGTAAAAGTTTAATAAAAGGTGACCAGTTACAAAATGCCAAAATAAAAAGCTTTCTTTTAAATGAATGATAGAAGTGTATAATTTACAATAGCAGCAGAAAATATAAAATACTCAAGAATAAAATTAAGAAATGTGTAGGACCTGTGAGAAAAAAACGTTAAAACTCTGTAGTGGAACATAGAGATTTTAATAAATTGAGTTTGAATTCTAGCATTGTAAGATGACATTTCTCCCCATATAGATCTTTAAATTTAAATTTTTCAGTCCCAAACAGAATTTTGAATGGATTTTCCTTTTAGGGACTTGACATAATGTTTCTGAAATTCAGGACTTAGAAAATTAATTGTGATGGAACAGTCAGAAATTTTCTGAAGAATAATAGCAAGGGGGTATTTTTTGTACCAGATTTTTTTTCTCCTCCATTAAAATTACATTTATTTAAAAATTTACATACAGTAAAATTCATCCTTTTTGGTCACATATACTCATGTAACTACAATCAAGATACAGAAAATAATGACTCCCTTGTGCTACCACTTTGTTGTCCAAAAGTATTCCAACTTTAACCCCTGACATCCATGATTTTTATTCCATCCCTATTGATTTGCCTTTTCCAGAAAATCACATAAATGGAGTCAAACAGTAAGAAGCCTTTTGAGTCTGGCTTCTACTTAGCAAAATACACTTAAGATTCACCCAAGTTATTGCATGTGTGGATCATTAGTTTTTCTTGCTGAATAGGATTCCATTGTATGGATATACCACAGTTTCTTTATGTACCAGTTGAAGGATAATCCTCCATTTTTATTTTCCTCTATTAGTGGTCTGTAGGTCTGGTAAAGAGCAGAGGTAAGATTTTCCACCCAACAGGAAGGAGTTCCTATTGAAAAGTCCAGCTTAGAAGTATGTCCCTGGGTGACATGTGTAAGAGGCTATACTAGGATAATTTACTTCTTATCCCTTAAACTATATTTAAACTTGGAGAATTAATCCTAAGTGGGCAGTATATCAAAGGAATAGGGTTTGTCCTGAGTATAGTCAGATGATATCCCCAGATTAGGCCTAACAAATATAAGTGAAAGTCACCCTCAGCCTATCCATTCCCACCTCCAAAAAGTTTACAGTTTGGTATATATATTTCCTAGCTTGTTTCTAAATTTATTCAGAAATATCTATATGCACATATACCATACATATATGAATGCTTTTACTTAAAAAACATATTCATATTCTATATATTTCTGCATCTTGCTTTTTAACTTAATACAAAATCTTGGACATGAGTACAGGTCAGAATATATTCATTGATATACTCCACTATTTTAGTGGCTGCATGGTATTCCACTAAGTTGATGTGCCATAGGTTATTTACCCATTTTTCTACTGATGGACATTTGGGTTATATCCAACTTCCTATTTTTGTGACAGTTTTATTAAGCTATAATTCATATACCATACAATTCACCCATTTAAGGTATACAATTCATGGTTTTTAATATATTCACAGAGTTCCGCAATCATTACTACAATCAATTTTAGAAAGTTTTCATCAGCCTCTAAAGAAACCCCATACACTTTCAGCTATTATCCCCAGCTCTTCCCATTTCTCCCCCCATACCAGATTTTAATTATTTTTCTGTGGTTTAAAACAGTATGGCATAAGAATAGGAAAAACTAATTTAAAATAGGAAATTATAAGATCCAAATATAATGATAGAATTATAAATCAGGAAATACTTTAGTGACATTTGGAGAGCCATTTGCCAAAACATTTAGCTGGTTCCCTACTTTACATTCCATACCAACACAAATTCCAGATCGATTACAAATTGAAAGAAAAAAGAAGTCTTTAAGAGTATTAGAAAATATGGGTGAATTTTTTTTTTAAATCATTTTGAATCAAGGAAGGCCTTTCCATAAATGACAAACATAAAATCAAAGTAAAAGATGGATAGATTTAAGTGATTCAGATTACTGTATTACAAATAATTAAATATTGAGAGATATTTTAACTTGGGTGAAATTTTTACTGCTTATTTGACATAAGAATTACTTATTATTCATAATATGCAGTTTTTAGAGCAGAATAATCTCTTATTCATAAGAAATGACAATTCCATTAGAAAAATATTAGAATTAACATTGTACAAAAGAAAAATTATCTCACCACTAAAAGCATGGAAAGATGTTTAACTTCAGAAGTAAACTACAAGGGAAGAAAACAGTGATATACTACTTTGCCTTTAAGTTGTAAAGTATTGAAAAGATTGACGGTATAGGAATGGAAATTGTAACTTTTTTGGAAAGCAAACTGACAGTATATGTCAAAGTTACCAGCAAAACTGACTCAGTTCTACTTCTAGGAAATTATTTCAACTATATTATTAATCAAATATGCAAGGGTGAATTACAAAGATATTCATTAAAACATTATTTGTAATAGTGAAATAATAGCCCATGTGCCTTTCAATAGGGGTTGACTAAGAAATGGTTCATTTATACCGCTGTGCAGCAGTTTAAAAGAATGCTGAATAACAAGTTCATTGATGTAAAAAGACATACCCAATGACAAAAAGAGGTTGTAGATGGGTTTTTGTTGTTGTTGTTGTTGTTTTGAGTCATGTCAATTTCACAGCTCTGGTTAAAAATAGTACACTTGGCTAGGCAGGAGGAGGAGGCTATCAGTGTAATAAATTCTTTTTTTGTCTTTTTCCGTGTCCGGCAACGGATCGCAACCCTCAGTGTCGCCACCGGACCGGGACCGGCAACGGGACCGCAACCCTCGGTGTTGCTCCCGCGCCTCGCTCAGCCAGTGAGCGGGAACCGGTCTGTATGTGGGATCCGAACCCTCGGGCGGGAGCGCTGCCGCGCTTCCCAAGCGGCGCACTATCCAGTGCGCCACCGGGCCGGCCCCAGTGTAATAAATTCTGAAGGCTGGCCCCAGTGTAATAAATTCTGAAACAGCTTTTAACATGATGGGAATTTCTGAAGTAGGTAAATTAAATACCCTAGTTACTCATGAAAAACTGAGAAAAAATATACTTCATCAAATCTGAGGCACCGTCAATTAGTGCCACACTGTTCCACTATTATTTTATGTATCACTAAAAAAGAATCAACAGGCCACCTATTAAAATACTAAAGCATCCTTGATTGTCAGATGTATCTTGATATCAGAGTCTTAGAAACAATGAAATACCGTATAAACTAGTAACAGAGAGACTGAGGAGGGAAAAGATTAGAGCAGAATTTTTTCAGGGCATATTTATGTTTATTAGTGAGATAATTCTTAATAATCATTCACATTTCAAGAAATGTGAGTAATATTGTCTTTTAAGGTTATTTTTTGTACTTTGTACTTCTCAGTATTTGAACAACCTGTTCAATCTTAGAGTGTTATTTTTCCTTTTTTTAGTTTGCAATGGATTTTGGATAAACAAGATCTGTTGAAGGAGCGCCAAAAGGACTTAAAGTTTCTCTCAGAAGAAGAGTATTGGAAATTACAAATATTTTTTACAAATGGTAAACTTTTTAAAAAAATTGTTTGAAATGGTGTATTTGGTTACCTCTGAATTTAAATGTTTTTGTATGATAATTTGTGAACTGTTTTAGTCCATACTTAACATTTTTATTTTTATGTGTTCCTTTTACAACTTATGTTCATTAGACTTTCTTTTTAGTAATCTAAGTAATATCTTCTGTGAATCTGACCTGCCACAGGCATCCAAGACTATTTGAAAGTGTTAGCTAATCTCCCTAAACCTTTATCAGGCATTATTAAACCCAGTTTAAGTTTGGCTAAAGCAAACTTTGAGGGTAAATGATTCTTTAGATTGACATCCTATGTGGTCATTCCTATCTTAGAACTTTACTTTGGAGGAAATGAGATTTAGAGTCAGAAGATCTTTACTCCGCTAGGTGGTGGCTTTGTCACATGATCTTTCTAATCCTCAGTTACTCTTTAGCAGACCTACCTCTCTGTTGTTTTGAGGATTGACATTTTTTGGTAAACTGTATGAAGTGGTATTATAATGATTTGATAGCTGTCTAATATTTTCTTTATATATTTATTAGAAAGATCATATAGAAAGCATTGAAAATATTTAGAAGATAGAGATACCATCCAACCTCCTTAATGCAAGAATCATTTTTGTTATGCGGAAATTCCTCTTTTTTTTTTTTTTTGTTATGCATATCTATTTTCTTTTTTTTTTTTTTTTTTAACAAACTTGCAAATCCTAGTACTAGATCACTGTGATCCAAGTAGAACTTTATAGTATGTGTAGGTTTTTCCCTTTGTTAAAAATGAGTATAAGTCATGATTTAACTACATGGAAGTTATTGTTCGATGCTAATATTATCGTAATGATACCAGAAGATACATTTAAAACCTTATTATTTTCCTTTTAGTCATCCAAGCATTAGGTGAACATCTTAAATTAAGACAACAAGTTATTGCCACTGCTACGGTCTATTTCAAGAGATTCTATGCCAGGTAGGGCTGTTTTATTTTGGGAATATGTTATGCCTGTTTGAAACTCTTATCTAATGTTGATGAACCATAGTATAAATGAATCATGTGTTTGCCATAGAGTTATCTTGATTTCCAGTGTGTTTTCTATATGAATTACATTTAACTTTGTTTTATTGTATTTTAGGTATTCTCTGAAAAGTATAGATCCTGTATTAATGGCTCCAACATGTGTGTTTTTGGCATCCAAAGTAGAGGTATAAAACAATTTTCTGTTCTTCATCAAAGTATGGTCAATTTATATTGTTTAATCTGTCCCAGTTTTCACATTATGTAAAGACATTAATATAGTAACTTATACAAAATATTGAAATAATACAGAATCAAGGAAATATATACATATCTTTATATATTCATTTAACAAATGCTTATATAGTACTTACTACGTATTAAGTGCTTTTGTAAGTCCTTTTACAAATGTTAACTGACTCAATCTTTTTTTTTTTTGGCGGCTGGTTAGTACAGGGATCAGAACCCTTGACCTTGATGTTGTCAGCACCACACTCTTCCAAGTGAGCTAACTGTCCAGTCCAATTTTAATAAAATGCTATGGAATTTATAATAGTAGTGTCCTGATTTTATAAATGAGGGAACTGAGGCATAGAGAGGTTAAGAACTTGCCTGAGAGCCAATATTTGAACCATGGGAGTCTAGCTCCTAATCCTATGTTCTGATTGCTTTGTGCTGCTGCCTTTAAGACATTTATTGTTTGGCAGTAAATAGTATTCAGTAAGTACTGCAGCTGTCTACCATAACCTGAGAATGTCCCTCCTTCTCACGCATATGCTTCTTGTGTCCTACTGTCTTCCCTTCCTGCCTCCTCATGATTTCCTGCCTTCCAAGCCACAGAGGAGGCAAGGATTGGGAGAGGCTATAGCTATACATAATGTAACAGGTAAAAGTTTGAGTAGTGAGGGTATTAGGTGAGGGAGAGACGAGAGATAGGAACTTACACTTGAGACTGTAATTCTGCTCAACTCACTTACCTTTTCAGTATTTTTGAGAGAGCTCACTAAAATTCATACAATAATAGCAGATATTGGCTCACTTTCATTACTAATCAATCCATGTACTCTTTAGTGTTACAGAACCTTTGCATTATGTTTCTATTGTTGGATGGTGTTTTTAGAAGAGTAATAGTAGTCTTGAATATTGAATGTGATTTTAACCTTAGCAAGCATATATTCCTTTTGGTACCCACTTTGGTTTAGTTTTGTCTTAGCCATTATTTATGCTAAAAGATCCATGACATCTTTCCCAACTATTACTTAAATAATGAGAGTTGACTCTATTAGAAATGACATTAATATTAGGAGGCAGAACAAGCTTTGTTGCTAAGTTCTTTAATGGAAAATGAAATGTTTATAAAGGCCTTTACTGTGGGTTGGCTTTCCAAATATTATCATGTAATATTTGATTTTATTTAAATATTATCATGTAATTTTTAATTTTACCTATCTTAAACCAGTATGGGAGACCAAGACAAAATCTTTGTAAACTTCTACTGTTGTAGATTTACTTGGAGATTTTAATTTGTCTTGTTTGTTAAATGTCTTTTGTTATTTAATTTACTGAGTGAAAGTTTTTGCTTTAAGAGTTTTGGATAAAGAATAATTCCCGAAAAAAAATCTGCTTTCAGATGTGATTGTAGCATTATTTATTATCTCTATGACCAAATCTTTCTATTTTGTCTGGTTATATGGAAATTATAGAGAAATTACATTTAAGAAGATGTCTCGGGCTTTTTTTTTTTTTTTTTTTTTTTTTTTTTTTTTTTTTTTTCC